AAACCTCTTTATTCCAACACAAGCTGGCTTTGGTGTAACAGTCAAAACATTTTTATTTATAACAAATAAAATTCATGGTATTCAATTATAAGCAATACTAATACGTGTATTTTCATTTATATTATAGATATAGTTTTGCATATATTTATATATGTAAAATCATAGAAAATAGTGTATTTATAAATTTTTTTGTGTATTATAATATTTTATATAATATAAAATGTGTATACAGAATTTATATGTGTGTGTGTGTATACATTTAAGTTTTCAAATTAATTTTAGTTTATGTTTTAGTAATTTTGCTATGTGCTTTTGTGTTTTTATTTGTTTTGTTCATTTTTAATAGTTTTTCTTTCCATTTTTAGTATTGGTAATTTTAGTAGGCTACTTTAAATTAAACTTATTTCAGTTAGTTACCAAGGTGCATTTCTAATTTTAAGCTTTCATTTTAATCTTAGAGTAAGTTTTAGTACATTATTTTATTTTATTTTATTTTATTTTATTTTATTTTTAGTATTAGGGTTAAGGTTAGATTTTGATTTATTTATTTGTTTATCCCCCCTCCCCCAACATTTTAGTATTTATAATTTTAGTACTTGAACTTATTTCAGTTAGTTTCTAAATTGTAAGCTTTTATTATTATTATTATTTTATTTTGTTTATTAAAGTTTCCCCATCTAATATATATATATATATATATATATATATATATATATAATCTGCTGTATTGTGAATAAATCACGGCTGAAGGGCATGTAAATATTTTCAAAATATCTATTGTATGTGTGCGTATTTAAATATAAATAAATATACACAGTGCACAGACTGCACACAAATATATTATTTAAACAAAAAACTTATTTTAGATGCAATTAATCGCAATTAATCGTTTGACAGCAGTAATATATGTATATACACACACACACAACTCTCTCTACCTCTGCTCATCTAACTCTCTTATCTGTTCCACAACCAGATTACGTAGACCAGATTATGTCGTCTGAGCTACAGTCAGTATTGTTTGATGAATCCAAAATGGCTAGATGGGACAGTACATCTGTTGCAAGATTTGACCTCCTTTAATCTTGCTTTAATCTGCTGAGAGATTTGTCTAGCTTTAAACCATGCAACATATTGAAAAAAGAAAAAAGAAAAAGCATTCAACCAGTCTTTTGCATGCTTCTGTGAATGTGCCCGTATAAGAACCCAAACCTCGCCGCCCACTGTAAACTTTCCAGGCTCCCCTCATAACCCAGCCAAAGTCTAAGTACACTGTTGGCATGGCGACAGATGTGGCCAAGGCGGGAAAAGAAACTCCCCTCCTCTCCCTTCGGCTCTCTTCCCAAAAGAAAACCTCCACCATTTTCTGTTTTCCCGGTACACAGAGGTAATCTGCAGAGATGCGTGCCGAGCCACTCCAATACTGCAGCATTTAGAAACATTGGATACATACTTACAGATGTTATATGTTGTACTAAATGTCTTTATTATTAAATGTTAATTTGCATAATAAATGAACTATCCATTGTTTCATTTTCATTTAAGGTAGTAATTGGTCTGATTTCACTCAAGGGTGCTTTTTGCTTGCTTATGCAGACCACAAGCTTTTTAAAATGAAGTCTTCCTTCTAGTGGTACAGTCCTCTCTGAGAAATGCTGAATAGGTGTTAGTGCTATAGTACTATAGCGTCTGAATGACTATTGTGTTAGTGAGAGTTCAGTGACCGGGTTTGAGAGTCTCAAGTACTGTTGTTGCTTTAGTAGCCTACCATCATTACATCATGACAGATGTAGCATCTTTTGTACTTAAACCACACACGTTTCAATCATATTAACTTGTGACAGGCCTAATATTAATATGCTGATTTTTTAGGATTTTGCATAAACTTAAACTGACTGGTATAGCCATAGATATTAATAGCCTACTAATTCTATGGGTATAACACTCACAAAAATTATCATGATAATTCTAGATTTAGAAATGTATGTGATATTAAATGTATTTTTATTTTTATTTTACACATCATCACTGATAAAGCGTTCTCAAGCTAAAATGATTTATAAATATGTAGTCAGTGTTGGGGAGTAACTAGTTACATGTAACGGCGTTACGTAATTTAATTACAAAATAAATGTAACTGTAATCAGTTACAGCTACTAAGAAAAAATGTGTAATTAAATTACAGTTACTTATGAAAATGTTAACGATTACAAAGGGGATTACATTTGAAAAGTAATTTTTCCTTGATTGATTTAGAAATATTTACAATACGGCATTAAGATAAGAGACAAAATACCACTCATTTTAATTTAATCGTATACAATTATTATGTTATCTAGATTCTAAGCGGTCTGGGATGCAGTCATCTTGCGCTTCCTGAACTGAAGGGGAGGAGAGAAAGAGAGAGAGAGAGAGAGAAGCTTATTTCCCTCAAAGTTACCGCACCGCGCTGTTCTGTGAATGTCTCCTGCCTTTTAAAAACGCTGCTATTAGACATAAACGGGACCAAAGGAAACTTTTATCTTAATTAATGGGATATACATATTTTGCCGTAAGAAGATTCGATTTTCGTTGTACTAAAGACGATTAGAATATCGCAATGTCTAAATCTGGAGCTGGGACTATTCGAACTAGAGCACCGACGTTAAGTCCTGCCAGTCTCAGCCCATTTCCTTGACGGGAGATGACACCAAACTTTAGACAAGTTCGCTGAACTCAGACAACAATGTGTTCAGGGCACATAGCACTCATGCTTTTGTACAGAAAGTTTGATTTAATGTCAACTTTCAAGTGAACTACGACCGCAGAGGTTGTTTTCGTTTTGCACGCTCAAATAAATTTCAGTAGCCTGATATTATTTTTTATAAACGCAGACTTGGAAATGTTAGCTGCTCCTAGTTTGTGCTTCTGTGGTTTGTAATATACAGAGTCATACTTAAGTTTAGTTACAAAACAAAGTGTCACTTTACCACATGGTTTGTTCTCCGACTTAGCATGAAATATTGCGACTTCCCAAATCTGCAGAGATGATCGCACATAAACGTACCAAACAATGCAGAAACATCCTGGAAGGGCTGGTTTTGAGCAAACTAGGTCAATTTAGGTCTGGTAATTTGATAGCAATATCCTGCAGGTTGTGGACTGCTACAGACACACACACTAACACACTAACCGGTTTTTAATACATTTTCAGTTGCTTACTTCCAACACATGTCCGTGTTCCTATGGCAACCTGTACTCATGCATCTTGCAGATTAGAAAGAGGAAATGCTCTTTCATTATTTCCTGCTTTGCATGTCAACAGAGAGGCCGATTTTCAGAATAAGCGATCCCAAAACTGGGTCTGGTGTCCTCAGAGATGGAAAAAATGTGAGACATCTTATCTTAAAAATTCAGTTGACATTTCAAATTCATTTTTAGAATCGTTTGTCTAGACATTTAGCTTTATCTTTCCTTCATTTTAGCAAATTAACCCATCATAAAACACATAAAAGAGGAAGATGGTCAGCCTGGGCTGAGTAGAGCTTCTGTAATAATGCTGACTAGAATATTAACCAACACCAGCTGCTGGTCAAATCTTTTATGATCAAGCACACTGCAGAAGTACACATCTCAGAACATCTGATGGGTTAAATTGAGTTTACAGAGTTGCACTGGTAATTGAGCAAAATGAATGCCTGGACTTATTAAATTTACCTAATTTAAAGCTGCAGTGTGTTTTTGAGCTGTAAATGCCATATAATTACTCTGGAGCCATTGGAAAATTATTTCGTGACAACACGGATTGGCTGATGGTACCACAAGAACGGACGCAGTCTTAAACTAAACTCTAGCAAATATCCTGTCGGTATATGAGCTGTGACATCAAAGGCAGCAGAGAGGAACATATAAATGGGGAATATTTCATTATGTTATGGAGGATGTTTTGCTAGTGGCCGCTCAAAATGTAAAACAGCTCAGATGGTTCGCTAAAAAAACCTTTCTATGCTGTATCAGTGTGCAAAAATGGCAGGGTGCAAACTAATGTTGAAACTATTAAAAATCCTTTTCGGTAATAGAAATAAAGCTGATATAAAATATAAATATTAGATGGAAAAATAGAATTTAAAAATGTTACTTTGGTAACTGAAAATAAGCAAGTTTACACTGCAATACGTTTAAGTTGTAGTACTACCATTACTAAAACTAAAATAAAAATAAATAAAGCTAAATAGAAATATTTAAAAACAACTAATAAAAAAATGACAAAACAACATAAAATTACTGAAACTTAAACTAAAACTGAAATAAACTAAAATATAAAAAATATAATTAAAAATATCGATTAATACCTGCCTCCACTAATTGCCAACACACATCAATTGGCCTATTAGATTGTGTCCACAAAGACCCTCAGAGGGTGAAAGAGAAGACAAACGCAGAAAAAAATAGAAACCAACTTATCAAACTAGGCATGTACGTAACAAAGACACACAAATAGATGAAGTAAATCTCAGAGCCATTGTTTGCTTAAACCACATGAGTGACTTTTTATAGTGGCTGATAGGGTTCATTTGTCTTTCCCTTAAATGCTGATTAGCAAAGATTAGCTTTTCCAATGAAAACCAGTTCACAGGCATGAATGTGCTGTATGTTTTCATGATGAAATCTTTTACCAGTGAATACAGGCCTTCTAGACATTCAATATGGCCATTGTTGGAAGTGTGTTCTTCCGAAACGGTGTTGCAAGTTCTCTTTTGACTTGGTTGTTTCCCTGTTCGTGAACTCAGCCTGTACCAGTTCGGCAGATGAATCGGTTACACAATAGAATCTGAGCTGCAATAGTGTCATCATTGTCTGTTTCTGTGAGTGTCGATTGTTCTTTGACCAGCTCAAAGTTTGTTTGTTTGTTTTTCGTACAATGATACTATGCTAATTTCTGGTGGAGATATTTTAAATATATACATATATAATGATGCCAATCGTGATTGATTTATTCTGAGTTTTTGTGTTTCGATTAGAATAAAGAGAAGGAGCGCATGAGGGAGCGGGAGAGAGAAGCCAGAGATCGAGAGGCGCGCTACAGTAATGGCCACCTCTTCAACTCTCTCACCGTGTCTGGAACAACGCTCTGCTCGGCCTGCAACAAGAGCATCACCGCTAAGGAGGCCCTCAGCTGCCCGAGTGAGTCACACACACACATACATATACATCACACTCAAAACCCAAAAAGTGCACCAGTAATCCTGTCTGCCAAGTTTAAGCAAATAATGGATTGCAGTTAAGTAGTTGCTAGGCTTTTGCCAGTCTAGGGGACATTTACACAACACCATTTTCAACTAAAAACAGAAAATGTTTTATACATTTTGGCTGTTCATTCACATGACTATTGCGTTTTGGGGGGTCTGAAAACACAAGCTTTTGAAAACAGTTTCAAAGTTCAAGATTTTGCGTGGGCGCCAATAGCCTTGTGGGCAGTGCGCTGACATATAGCGTCGTTGCGCTACGGGCGTCCCGAGTATGATTCTCGCTCGTGGACCTTTCCTGATCCCGCCCCCTCTCTCTCCCACTTCACTTCCTGTCGCTACTTAACTGCCCTATCAAAATAAAAGCAAAAACGCCAATAAATAAATAAATAAAAAGATAAAAACAAAATGCAAGATTTTGAAAATAATATTATTATCTCTGTGTAAACTACAAAAATGTGAATTTGTGAAATTGGTGATGTCATACACATGCAATGCTGACAATGTTGTCATCTGTATGCAAAACATTTAAAAAAAAAAAAATAGGAAAAACACTACCTTCTTAATACAGTCGCTGTCATGTAAACATACCATAAGTAGTCAGTCCTCAGGTCTCTATGATATTATGGTTTTTGTTATCCCTTTTTTTTTTTTTACTCATTTTATCACTAAAACACTAAAAAAGTAATAGCATACCTCTTCCAAAAAGCTGGCGTTTGTTCATCAATGATGATAAAATGTTGTGGATGTTTGTTGCCATGCATTTACTGAGGTGTTCTGGGCAGTTTTAGCATGTTGCTATGTACTTGCTAGGGTGTCCTGAATGTTTTTTTCATGTTCTTATGCGGTTGCTAGGGTGTTGAAATGCCTGTTAGTGTAAAAAGCTGATTCCTGAGTCTACAGGATATTCTATTTTCTTACCCTCATCTGATTTTTTTTTTCACTATTTTCATAGGCTACGTTCACACTGCAGGAAAATGTGGCCCAAATCGAATTTTTTGCTCATACTGTATGTGATTCAAATCATTTAGTTTCATGACTGTGTGAACAGCACAAACCACATGGAATCTGGTCTTTTAGGCTTTAGTCTTTTTGACTATTCACACAATTCTGATTTTTGGGTTTCCAGGTTTTCACAACAAAATCCACCCAATTGCTTCTCAAAACTAGTCCAAAACTAACCCAATCATGTTCAGGGGGGTAAATATTGCGTTAGTGGGGTCACATCAACCCACAAAGTTGGAAAACAACACGCGGCAACAGTGGAAAAAGTAACCCAATTCCGCAGGAAAACCGTGGATTTGGCAACACTTGTGCAGCGCGCTGTCATATGGAAGTAAACACAGAGGACATAAAGTAAGCGATTATACATTTATTTATAGTGTGATCTGCTGCAGAAGCCAGCCATGTGCGCAGGTAATATGAAAAATAAAGACAAGGATGTGACAAAAGGCAGTTTTTAAAGTTTTATGATACAAGCCCTCATGTTTTGCTTGTATATAGTGTTGTCACCAGTGTTGGGGGTAACTCCATTACAAGTAATGCGAGTTACGTAATCAGATGACTTTTTTCAAGTAACTAGTAAAGTAACGCATTACTTTTGTAATTTACAAGAAAATATCTGAGTTACGTTTTCAAAAAAGTAATGCCAGTTACTTTGTTTTCCCATTTATTGACTGACAGCTCTCCTGTCCCCATATTGGGAGAAATCGGGAGTACAGAGGAGTTGTGTGTGCTGTGTGAACATGATGTTACTGTAGTTCTAGACTAAATGTGAATGTGCATTAATTCATCCCACTCACAAAAAACAGATTTAGTATTCATCAAAATGAATTAAAACAGTGAAATGCAAACTCAGAATATGACGCAAACCTGCAATAATTAAATATGTTAAATAACACAAATGTATCTAATCCCATTTTATTAACCAATATCTTTGCTGCTGACCTTTGATGATCCAGTTCAACCATACTATAAGCAAAAATGACTTTAGAGAAACTAACAATTGTGCTTTGTTTTTTTTTTATTTGTTTGTTTGGAAACTGAGTGTAAATGTGGAAGTCCTTCAAAGATTTCTTATCCTGTTGCGCCCTCTATAGGACCAGCGACTAGTCACGTCAAGCTTAAAGCGTCATGGCAGAGCATTGAAGTCGACTAGTCGATTAGTCGGTGCAACCCCTAGTTCACACAGTTATGACAAAAACAGATCTGAGTTACATATGAGCAAAACAAATTGGATTTGGGCCACATTTGCCTGTAGTGTGAACGTAGCCTTCGATTCTGATTTGGGCCATGTAGTACTATGTCTGATTCAGGTCAGATGTTTTGCAACGCGACCACAGTCTGAACAGCCAAAATGATATTCATGCATATAATCTCACATGTCTTGTGGAGCGCTTTCAGAGTATGCATTTATTTGTTTGTTTGGAAACGGAGTGTAAATGTGGAAGTCCTTCAAAGATTTCTTATCCTGTTGCGCCCTCTATAGGACCAGCGACTAGTCACGTCAAGCTTAAAGCGTCATGGCAGAGCATTGAAGTCGACTAGTCGATTAGTCGGTGCAACCCCTAGTTCACACAGTTATGACAAAAACAGATCTGAGTTACATATGAGCAAAACAAATTGGATTTGGGCCACATTTGCCTGTAGTGTGAACGTAGCCTTCGATTCTGATTTGGGCCATGTAGTACTATGTCTGATTCAGGTCAGATGTTTTGCAACGCGACCACAGTCTGAACAGCCAAAATGATATTCATGCAACTTTTACGTCACTCTAGATTGACATTCTTCATGATTCCGCTCTGTCGGGATTCACTTTTTCACGATTTTCACTTCTATTTTACATACCGGTATTTCTTAGATCACTCGTAAAGTTGAGAAGATTGTCAGTGTAGAGACCAGAGTTGTTGTTTTGCAGTGTATTACAAAGACCACTCTATATAAGGTAAACTTACTGGGTTGTTTCGTAAATAATAAAAAAAAACTTTCATCCTTCTTATCGCCTACTTATGAATTATCTGGCTTCCACAACATATCAGCTTATAAATTAATGCGTAGTGGCCTCCGTGTTTACCTCTGTATGACAGTGCGGTTCATGCTATCTTGTTATAATTCTTTTGGCGGGCCATACAAAAAAATCGGATCTGAGCAATAAATCAGAATTGAGCACTAATGTTTGCAGTGTAAACATAGCCAAAGTCTGCCTGATAAAACACTTAGAAATGTGACAGCATACACTCCCACCCCCACCCAAACGAGCCAACTGATTGGAGGTATCATTCATGTAGGACTATCTTATAAATACGTATTTAGCTTTGTGCTGATGTTTAATACTTACGGTTATGGATCTGAACACACCCTTAATGATAAGTATGAGCGGTAGTAATTGTGATTGGACACTAACGATTATAATTATAATAGCATTACCAATCTTGATTAATGTTTGCTTACGTCCTCTGTTGATGAAAGCCCTGAGAATAAATGCTCCTGACGAAACCCTAGGAGGAGCTTGTTTGCGATCCTGCCAATCACAACGCAGAGTCTATAAAAACAGCCGCTTACCTCACTCCTTCCGATGATTTTTCCCGCTTTCTTCCCCCATCCCAACTCCCCCGCTTTCTTTCCATGATTGTCTCCAGGACTTCAAGCTTGAGACGAACATAAGTCTCTTTATTACTTACAAGCCACACCTGTCTGCCCATTCCCTCTTTCACATTACATCTATGTGTTGCAGCACTGAACTGCTGTCTTGAATCTTATTATGTGGTGAAGAGTATGTGGAATATTTTTAGTGGCTGTTCTACCACAGCATGCCAAGATAACACACACGCACACACACACACACCTTGAAGTTAGAGGTCTGGATAGTTTCTTCATGGTAGGCGTTTTCACACATTTCACCACATTCACTCACACACTGTATGTGTGTGTGTGTGTGTGTGTGTGTGTGTGTGTGCATCATATATGCCTACATGATAAAATGCATGTAAAAAACATTTTACAGACATTAATATCCATTCTTCTCATTCTTAAAGGATACATTTGTGGCATAATGTTGATTAGACAATTTTCAGTTTTTATAAAGTCATGGTTCCAGCAAGGCATTTACAATAAGAGCAAACAGGGTGACGCACTTCAAGGGATTAAAAGCAGTCAAACGTTACTTTAGCTGTACAGATGTCTAAATTGATTTTTTCAATTCAAGGTGGATGAACTCATGGTTATTTGTCACATACGTCCAGTGTTTACATTTTCTCCTTTTCTCCTTTTGTTTAAAGTTTCTTGACTTTTTGTTGTCATGGAAGAGTTGAAGTATTGAATCAAACTTTGCGCAGAGAGGGATAGTAATGATTTATCACACTAGTCTCATCTTAATATGTATAATGTTTAAGTCTTGTTGTTATACTATCCAAGAACTGTGTATTTTACCATTTAATTCTGATGTGTTTTACTGTAACTATAATTTTAGCTGTTTTTTAAAGCTTGAGGAATGAGATAAAATTATTATGCTACAAATGCTGTCAATACAACTTAACGTGCATTAAACCTGAACGATTCTTTTCAGCACATTTACATATAAATTCTGTGCACTCTCCCACCCTTTCCTGTTTTGTTGTGCTTATCTCTCATTTCTTGTTCTCTGTTTTACTATTGTTTTTAGCTTCTTCCTTATTTTGTCATCATGATCAGATTTCAAGACCAGACAGTACAAGCTGCTCACTGATGAGCTGCTCTGTGCTCGGCTGCTCTGGTCTGGGTATTGATTGCACTGAGAGCTTGTGTGGGTGTTGGAACTTGTAGTTTGTTCCTCTGTACACAGCAAAGGCAGATGAACCGAACACCTTTGAGTGGGATCAGATTTACATTAGGTCGTAAAGTGAATTAGATAAATGTATAGGCTATGCATAAAGATGCTGTTTTATTTAATGTTTCGTAGATGAAATGGTAAAGGGAATAAGGATGTGAAAACTACATATTTTTAAAATTAGCTTGGTGGGTTGCCTGAATGACTTGCAGAGTAATCGTTTTAAGGAAGCACT